TGTCCGACCACCACGCCCCACCAAAGGGAAGATGCCTGTGGACCTCCCAGGAGCTTCCTGTCTAGTGGGCATGACAGCCACTTAGGGGCCCGGCAGGCAGCACTGCTGGGAGGCTGCCTGGAGGAGGGGGCCCGTGAGTAGATGAGAGGCTCACAGGGAGACCCAGTGGGGGGAGGGTCCGGGGCGGGTGCCCCAGGAGCACCCGGAGCATCCCGGACAGCCGCAGGCCGCGGTGTGGAGAGAAGTGGGGGGCTTGTGGGGACCATGGGTCCCTGGTCCGGGGGTGGGGATGAAAGAGTGGCTGGACGCTGGCTGAGCCTCACCTGAGTCGGGCCGAGTGTGACCTGAGTGTGGGCCGGTGACCTGGTGGACCAGGGCGCCCCCCCCCAGCTCCGAATGTCACAGGTGCCTGGTGTGTGGTGGGTGACACCCAAGCTCAGCTCGGCAGAGGGTCCAGGCTGAGACACAGGTTTGGGGTGACCTTGCAGAAGCTGGGGGGTGGGTAGTTGACAGGGCCCAGGGTGAGCTGGGAAGGGGAGAGGGCCCAGGACAGCCCCCAGGAACCCCAACTTGAGAGGAGTGGGGAGGGACAGGGTCTGCAAAGGAGACTGAGGAGCAGCTGCAGGAGGGGGGAGAGGAGGGGCCAGCATGGCCCCCAGGAGAGCAGTGGCTGCAGGTGTGTGTGTGGGGGGGACCATAGCCAGAGGTGAGGGAGCACTCTGGGGGTCAGGAAGGGCTTGAATGGGGCTTGGGTGCCCTTAACTGTGCCAGGCCCCCAGCTCTCTGGGTCACCCCGGCTTCCCTGCCCCTTCCCATGACCCCTCGCCCACCCACCTCAGAGCTTCCTGCATCCTTGAAGGGGTGGCCCCCACTAGTTCCCCACTGCCCTGTCAGGGAAGCCCCGTGACTTGCTGTCCAAGCCATGTTCCCCCCCACCCCAGCCTCTGGCCCTGACCACCCTCTCCACCCCCAGTGGCGAGCCTTCCTGCCTGGCCTGAAGTTTGAGGTCATAGGCCCTGCTCACCTCTCCCTGTACACAGGTGAGTGGGCCTCTGGGGAGCCCGTGGGCTCCTGGTGGGTGGTCCCTCTGGGGAGGTGGTCGGGCTCCTGGTGGGTGGTCCCTCTGGGGAGGTGGTCGGGCTCCTGGTGGGTGGTCCCTCTGGGGAGGGGGCTGGGCTCCTGGTGGGTGGTCTCTCTGGGGAGGGGGTGGGGCTCCTGGTGGGTGGTCTCTCTGGAGAGGGGGCTGGGCTCCTGGTGGGTGGTCTCTCTGGGGAGGGGGCTGGGCTCCTGGTGGGTGGTCTCTTTGGGGTGGCCTCTAGGCAGGGAGGGGTGATGGGGTTCTGGGGACCCCACACATCCCTCCGCCCCCAGATGAGTCCTCCCTGAAGATGGACCACGTGGCCCATGTTCCACAGTCCCCAGCCAGCCACGTGGGGGGGCGCCTGCCGCCAGAGGAGCCCAGAGCGGACATGCTGAGGCCAGACCCCCGAGACACCTTTTTCC